AACGTTACTCATGCTATCCAATGAAATGTTGGCCTCGAAAATGGGTAAACTATTTATCATTGGAAACGAATTTTGATAATTTGATTCTGACACAAACGTGGATGTATCTTCACATACATTACTACCTTCGAATCTCTTTTGGTTGTCACAAATAATGAGTTGACGACAACCGACTGTTATTATACCAATGCGTTTGATTGTGGAAAAACAGGTTTACGCTTTTCGACGTCTAAAAAACATTTTATATGATCAAACGTTGCAATCTATTGCAACGTGTTTCATTTGATAGGTTTGTTGAAAACATCACATCGTCAAGTGAAGTAGGGAAAGTCCACATCACTAATCAAAGTAGAAGAGTATGCCATCAGTGGCTGTAGAGATAATCTTGGTAGCGAACGTAGTATTCTCACATACTCCGCTCCAAACCGCATGAGAGAAAAACGAAATCAAAAACTTTTTTCTAGTGGTGGTGGCAGTAACGCTCAAGATCAACTAACAGTGTCTCTGACATCTACTAAGTCATTGAAAAGAAGTGTGAAACATGGTGACGGTGAAGGAAAAAGTCTTAACAAAAATATTTCTTTCAGCGACGTTGAAAGCGATCACTATTCACGTTGTAGCTAAAGGGAAATCTCTCCCTTGCAATTTAACTTCACAAAAGATGATAGATAATAGTGAACGGTCTTCCATCACTCTGACTAATCTCAGTGGGACATATGATGAACCAACTTACACAATACGCCCACCATCAACATTTATACTATCGGGTGAGAGTGATGAAATGGGCACCGAAACTGAATCTTCCACTTAATTAATTTTTTTGTTTAGTTCTTTTTAATTGTCTTGCACAGACGATATGTTCTCTGAAAACCTTTGATGTAAAACGATAAAAGGTAGAAATTAGAAAAGATTTTGAATTTAAATGTTTTTTGTTTCTTTTTACCTCTCTCAATTGTGCACTTTTTGTATGATAACTTAATTTAAAATTTTTTTATTTTGTACCGCCCTCGATTCTGTAGTTTTAGTATGACGACTTAATCTAAATTTTTTTATTATTTAACAGTAATCTATTAGTGTGCGTGCTTGAGTGGGAGCAAAACAATAATCAGTTTATGTTCCCACCTTTTAAAGATTCAACATATAATCAGAATTAACTGTTGTTACCTATAACTTTGCACAATTTTCTCGTACGTGTGAAAATATTTATTCATATACAAATATATATTTAAACGTAATCATAATCGTAGTACCCTCGCATCTTCAACCAAGCAAAAAATTATTATTTATTATAAAATTATTATTTACTATATCGAAACATTTTTAAAGTCAACAAACACAAAATTAACAACTTGAGCAGCGACTTAGTCGGCTAGTGGGAAGACAACGTACTTCAAAAATACGGAGTTCGAATCTGGGCAACAGCGGTCACGTGATAGTGGACAAGCTATCTAATGCTCATTGTCTCGGTACCTTTGGACACAATTGCAATGCGCCAACCCGATTTCAGCAGCCATTTGACTCAAGAGAGGAGAATTAAAGTGTAAAAACAAAACAAAACGAAGCTTTAACGACTTCTTTTATCGATACAATAATGCAATCATTTTTATATTATTATTCGTTCGTACTATATGACAAATTCGGACACGGTGATGCCTTATCCACTGAATTTTACTCGTGATCATTTAATCCATGCTTACAACACACATAGCCTACTGGTCGAGCAACATTAGCACAATGTGGATGAATAACTGCAATACATTAAACAACAAGACACTCAAGCATGCACATATTTTTTTCGTTTTCTGTCCTCTAAAACGTCTTTATCGAAATAAATGATTCAAAAACACAAGAAAATGCACTACATACACCAAAGACGAATAGAATGTCAAATACCCAAACAACAGTTGAAACGTCTCACAAATCTAGAAGTCTAAGAAATCCAAAAGTCTAATAGTCTAAGATAAGCTATGAAAGTAAAACTACTGTTAGACTTTTGACTGCTACATATATGCATCAGCCATAACATGTGAGATTGTGTAGGCTTTGATTATTAACTGCTGAAGCCCAGTGTTGAATACACAAAATAATGTACGAAATCTATCAGCTGATGGATCTGTATATATTAAACAAATACTCACTGAATAAAATCTACGATTACAATCAGATGCCCCAAATACTAATAATGGTAATTCATTTGTTGTTATTTTGTAAGTGCAGTCAATAGCCAATATGGATGAATATTTACATGCAGATAATAAATGACGTGTTGTTAAACATCTAAAAGAATCATTTACATCATTAGCGACATAATAAGGTATAAATATGTCGTGTTGTTTCTTTGATTGTGGTACATTTTGATGTGATGAACATCATTGTTATAAATTCTTGAATGAATTTAATACTTGAACGATCTTTCGGACGGTGAACACGAGAAACATTCCTAGCTTTTGTATCAATAGACAAACTTAGGTGTAACACTTCCATAACTTTATTAATTTGAGAGGCGACTAAGCCGTTGTCTGACATTCTAATGATATTTTCATGTATAATTTTGTAAAAGATCCTGTCTATAGTAAACTAAATCCTGAAAGGATCTTGGCAGGATTTCTCTAAATTTCTATCAAGAAATGTATAGAGTTCTTACTAGCCATGTGAAATATTAATAATTAGCTTTAGTCTTATACTTCTGGTGAATTCAGGAGCTACATTCCTTTTTTCTTCTAATATAGCGGATCAAAATGAGCTTTGACTTGTGTTAGAATATTCAACATACATATTAGCTGGAACTCTAAACTTCACTCGATTGAACGATGATGTCAGATTTTGAATCAAATATAATCTACCTCAATTTTATATATGAACTTATTTTAGAATATGTGTGAATTCACAGAATACAGAGTTTTGACGTCTAAAAGAGAGATCGCTCTTGATTGTCAGAGGAAACAAGTTTGTTATTTCACCTTTATGTGTATGTAAAGAGTTTTCTCTGACTTAATACAAGAACTAGATAGTTTCTTGAGTAATATATAAACTTATATATAAAGTGACGGACAAAAATTTAGTGCACATTTTATTTTTGAGTTTTCTAGTAAACTAAAGTAGCTAGAATAAACCCGAGAACAGATTTATGTAGAGAACACTTTGGAGTATCTAGGCATGTAAGAAGAAAACTTTTCATTTAACTTTAGCAGGTTTAAAAAAGATGAAATTCTAAAAATTTAAAAGCCTTAAGTTTTCAACATTTTTAAAGTCAGTTAAAAGTCATTTTCGATCATTCAGCAAAATAGAGCAGACTTTTCTCGTCAAAATGAGACGTTGTACGACTCGGTGCGAGCTTTCTTCAATGAGTTATGAATTTGTCTCGGAAAGCACCGACGTCTCTTTTTATACTGAAAAATGCACTTTTTAACGATCTGCTAGGATTTTTCGGTAT